TTGAGGCACAAATATTTGGCAAAAGGGTTTTCCATTGACAATGATGGGTATTCAACAAAAATAAAGGATGTTAAATGAATATTTAATTTATTTTAATTATAAATGTAATATAAACAATGTTTACACCAATTTATAAAATAACATTGAAAAATATTTTTTATTAAATCAAGATATTTTTAATAATTTTTACGTTTTTGTGAATTACATTACAATACACAAAAACAAAAAGTTATTGTATCCCAATATAACATTTCAACATAAAACTTAATGTTTTAAGTGTTAACAAAAATGTTTATTTTAATATTAATATTTTAATTTACTTTTAAAAAATATAACACACAAACTTTTAATTGTTTTTAATAAATTATAAGAAGTTGAACAAAAAATTAAAGAAAACTTCAATTATTGGGCTCTTTTTACTCATTGAAGTTGGTATTGGCTGCTTCGTTATCTGCTGCCTTAAACTGGGCATTTTCATTTGCAACGTTCACTACGTTTTTCATAGCGGAGCTAACCAATTGATAAGTCTTGAAAAGACCAATAGAGACGGCGATGAGAGCAACCACAAGTGCGACAACGACAGCAGCGACGGTAGTTGCAGCTGCAATGGCACCAGAGTTGTTGATTTCACCAGCAAGAATGCAGAGTACCTTTTCGTTCAGTTGTTGTGTCAAGTCGGACTGGTTCATCACCATACAGTTACCACATGCATCGAGTTGGTAATGTTCAGTTTCAGTATCTGCAAACATGACAAGTGAAGCTCCTCCATCAATATACGAACATTGGCAGTAGAAACATCTGGCCTGGTTTGATGTCAGTGTTGGGAACTCTTCTGAAACAATGCATTGTTTGTCTCTATATTCGACCTCTCCTGTTAATGGATTGCATTTTGCATCTTCACACAAATTTCTTGGGATTGGTTCTGAGTTGTCATAAGTTTTGTTCCAATAATGTTTACACTTTACTGTTCCTGCTTCCAAGCTTTCCTTATATGTTGGTGATCCACCTTCACAAGTCTCAACACATTCGTATCTGTAGCACAAGTTGTTCGTCTTAACATTTGATTGTTCTCTGAAGTATTCAGTGTCCTCCAATGGATCATTTTTGTTGAATTCAATAAATTTGCAGTAAAACCCATTATTAGCATCGCATGTAAAGGTTGGTCGTCTGCAACCATAGTCGACATTTTCCGCAGTTTGTGCACATACATTGTCGTCTGCAAATGAAGGACATCTATTATGATTTACACAGACAGTTGAGTCGCATGGCATCGAACGCATGACAATGTCAGTCTTATCATATATCTTTTGTCTTGTCTCTTCTAATAACTTTGTCGCATTATCACAAAGATTGTAAACGAATTTGCAGTTACCGTTCTCGAGTGCTTCAACAGAACAATTCTTTGGTTTGCATTTGAAATCGGGGTCAACTACACACTCATTTTCTAAACAAAGATATTGAACTCCATTTTGTTCCTTTGGACATTCATTCACAACTTGAAATTCTTTTTCTTCAACTTCACCACCACTTGGTTTGATAACACATTGTTTGCAATCACTTTTAGAAAATGTCCATTCACAATACGCCTCCTTATCGGCTTCTGCCATAAATTCTTCTGATTGTGGATACCCGTAACCAAAGTTGAATGGATCAAATTTATCAGAGTAATGATACTTGTAATTGATCAAATCCATACAGTCACCAAACTTCTTAAAGATTTCACAAAGAGATCTTCTTCTTGGCAATTGAGAGGGTAGCGCGGGAAACACTGGTTG